TCACAATATTTTTCTAGATCAGATTGTGCCCAGGGTGGACTGACTATTGAAAGGATTTGGGTACCATATTCTAAAGCATATTTCTACAGAGTACTATATGCAGTACCATACTGGTTTTATTTTCAGAAGGTTATCAGTTGGCCAGCTCAAGATTACCTTGGGGATAACAGAAGGCACTTGCTTGACTCAAAGGATACCTGCCAGATTTCCTTTTGCAAAGCCAAACGATGAGGGCATGAGATGCATCCAAAGAGGCAGTCACCAGAAATCTTTAATAAGGGAAAAATAAGCTATGTTTCCCTAGTCTGTTTTTCAAAGATACCTGAACAGTCTTGTCCGACATTTTCTGAAAGCAGACATCAAAGGCAGATATTGCACATGGAATATTTTAGCTTATAAACTTAAATGACCAGCAAAGTTATAAGCAGCTGACTTTTTCTTTCAGTGAAAGGCACAATAATATCCTAAAAAGAGGCAATGCAACCAGCTTACCTGAGTGAAAGCAAACAAAACAGGAGTTTGTTAAACATGATTTTGCAACCCAAGATTTTCCTGTAAGGCAAAGGCATTTTCATCTCAGTGTGCTGAGCCCAAGGAACATGCCACAGGGTAGGGATGCTTGCACAGCCCTAATGCTGCTTGCACAGTAATTCGGCCCACTCTTTAAAGTGTTGTGTAACATGGATAGGCCTTGAGCCTTACCTAAAATGGGAATTTAGCCACTGATATAAAAAGTGTCCAGACAATTTTTCTGGAATGAAGATTTGCCCTTTGTTGAAATTTCCAAGCTAAGCATGGCTCTTGATACTGTTGTTCAAAATCTCCATGTTAAAACCTGGACATGCTATTCCCAGACTTAGTTCTTAGCTCAGCCAAAATTAGAGGCCAAAAGTTAGGGCCAAACTAAGTTTTTTGTGTAAGCTGCAGAGGTATTCTCAGAAAAGAATTTTCTGTGGTAAGATGTTAATTGACAGCACTTTCAGTTGAACTTCATTTTGAGGGTTCAGAGAATAGCTATAAAAGTAAGGAAAGCTGAAAAATAAGGTGTTTTTATTTTTTTTAGTAAGAGATTCCAGATGCCACTTTATGCAAGCTAATGAAGAGAAGATGAAGGACTTGATCAGAGTCTCAGAATATCAACACAACAAGGATACACAGGCTTTTCAGGGTACTGTGTGGCTATCAAATTGAAGCTAAACAAAAAATCAGTATAAATGTATTAAATGTATTAAATGCATTAAATGTAGTGGTGTTTCCTAAACAATTGTGGTGTTTCCTAAACAATTAAGGTTATTAACCTTTGGAATAAAAAAGCTGTCATGGATCCCTTCTCACTGGTTCCTGTCAAGCCTAGACAGCTTCCCAGAAGATACTCTGAAATTCAAAATTATTTCAGGTTGGAATAAAGTAGAATCCAAACCCCTCAACTGCCAGGATTTTAGTTACAACTTTCCATCATTGCTAACCACAGCTTCTGGTAAAGGTTAAAGGTGTAGATATATTTCAGCTCCACAGGTGCTTTAATCTTTGTTTTGCTTAACCTTGTGCTGAACAGGGCTATACAAATCAGCTCAGTTATCTACTGCTACCAGATCTGTACTGCATCTCTCAAATGGAGATGGCTGGCATAGATCTGAATTCACAAATTAAAATGTACAAATGCAGTCTTAACATTACTCTTGTGAAGAAAAACAGCCAAATTTCCTATTTCTTTGCTTAAACATCAGCAGTCAGTTGGGAAGTGTGATGGACGGGGCCCCTCCTCTGGAGCTAATAGCATTAACCTTTTCCCTGTTTCCAAGGCACATTACACCCAGTAGTTTCAAGATGGGTTTTGTTTTGTTTTATTTTATTTGATTTTATTTTACAACTGATGGAGATTCTTTATCACTATGTGACTTACACAGGCTTAAAATTTAAGAATTACTTATTGGTTAAGCTGACACAATGAATCAGCTGCCAAATTGAGAATGATAACCAAATATGATGGATAACCACCACATGCTGCTGGAAGCAGGGCAAGCAACATTTCTGAGTGGGGGAGATGTGATTACCAGGTGCTGTATTACAGTGACAATGAGACCTGCAGGGAATGGGAGACTATAGTTTGCCTCTGCAAGTAAAAAGCACCCTTCTAATCAGCAGAGTTACTGGAGATGGTGCTGTGCAGGATCAAGCCCATTCAGTTTTGAGAAAGCAGGAGGATGATCGAGATAAACCTCTAGATTTGGTCTCTCTGAGTGAGCTCTGTTCCTCAGAGGCATTCACCAGGGGCCTATTATGAACTTAGAAGGAATGTGATAAGGTGTTTGATGTGGTAAAGAAACACTCCTACCCAGAGTTACACGTCTGTTTAGGAAAACAACACATTTCCAAAACAATTCTCCCTGAATTCTGACTGAATTAGGTAAGAACTACAAAGATTCCGTGTCTCCTCCATTTCTGAAAGCTGAATTACTCCAGTATTTTCATTGGATCACAGTAGATTAAGATCATTTTAGGCCACCAAGAACTGGAAGCACGCATGTCTAAATATTTATGAGGGAGATACTCCCTTCAGGTTCATTTCCAACAGCCGCTTCCAACACTGGCTCTCCAAGTGGCCAACTCTTCCAGCAGAACTGCTTCCTGCACATCCATCTGCTCCATTTGTTCAGATAAATACACATCTCTCCTGCTGGCCATGTGGTGCTGACTTCTCCCTGCCACGTGCACAGTTAGCAGGGATGCCCTGCAGAAGCTTCACTGTATGAGTCACAGAAAGAATCCAACTAGATACCTGGAAACCCATTTGGGTTTATGAATTAGCAGGATCTAGGAGAGTTTTCTTTTCAACCAATACGTGAAGCAAGTCCACTATGGAATTACTGAGTTAATATACATGAATAGACCGCCTGTCATTTTTCAGAGTCCTTTCTGTGACTCTTACTGAAAATACAAAGTAGCAAATGAACAGAGAGACTGAAATCCACCCCCTAGTTGCTCTGAAGGCAGTTCCACAGAACGTGAAAAGCTGGCTCTGATTGGCAATGTGCAGAAAGCTGCTGCCACTGCTGTACATGCTACTGGTCAGCAGATAAACAAAGCAATCCTGTTTCCAGGCAGTGAAGCCAGCAGTAAATTTACACAGCCATCTTTTCAATAGCTTTAAAAAAGAAAGAAAAACAAGGCGCAGTCATTTCAAGCTCCATTAGAAACAGAGTGAGAAAAATCAATGTATGACAAATAGGAAGGGACAAACTCTGGATAAAGAAATGCCACTAAGGTTTTAGAAATATATGTGTTTTTTAACTGGCAATCAAATAACAAATTATCAGAAGCTTTCAAAAGACCTATGCACGTAACAGCAGGAGCTGTTAGAATATACTGACATTTCAGTATTTAAGCAAATGGGACAAAGCTCTTGTTAGTAATGGCTCTGTCACTTAACATACCAGCAGTGGGACTAGTCCTGCAGTCCTTGTTAAACACGTCTCTAGCATCAGTGCTCCGATGGTTTGGAGATTATGATTGTTCCCAGCAAGCTGTTTAAGCTTTGAAGGTGTACTTGGGTCAAAAATGTATTCTGTCCACATTAAGTGATCCTGGATTTGGACTAATTTAGGTTGGAAGGAATCTCTGGAAGTCATCTAGCCAGCTTCCTCATGAAGTAAAATGTGATACAGAAAGGGTTGTAGGGCTTACTCTAGGGGTGTGGGGAAAGGGAGTGAAGAACTGCATCATATTTCTGACCCAACACCATATCCTCTCAGCTGCAGTTACCGTGCAAGAAATGAAGTCTGGCTGTTCATTGGTGACACCTGACCTGTGATGACTTGGATTTCCAGGAGCACTGAGTCTCCTCCTTGCCAGAGACACATAGAGTAACACCACCTGCCATGGGAAATTTCTCTCCATGCCCTGGCACTTGACACTGCCAGCCTCTGAAGTGATCCTTTTAGTGGCATTCTGCCTTCCTCCCCCAAATTCTGTCATTCTTGAAGTTGCCTTGGATTGCAGCACTGGATTGCAGCACAACTTTATTTCCCTGGAACTGTGACTGCACCATGTCCTATTCTTGTCAGTGTTCCCCAAGCTATTCCTAGTGCTCAGGTCACCTGTATAAAGTTTAGCCCACTGGAGCAAGCACTACAGAAAGCCATGAGCACAGCTGTAAAGCAAGGCTCAGGGATCTTCCCTTTTCCTCTTATTTCACTCCTAGTTGTGGGAAATTTGCAACAGGCAATTTCTTCAGCTCCTAGACATTTATGCAACAATTGTCCTTCAGCACATAGAACCCTCAACATGTTTATTTACTGTTTGCCTTTTCCTTTCAGAAGTCTGCAGAACTCACCTCTGGGAATGAACTTGTGTTGCAGTGCTTAGCAGGAAGCAGGCAGCATAGCATGTTTATTCCCTGTACCACAACTCCAGGTGTCTCTGGTTTGCTGACAGCACATTCCAGCAGGGCAGAGCCCCTTGTCATTTCCTATAGCAAACCTCCATACAGGATCTCCTGGATAAAAGGCAATTACGTATTATTTTTAAACCTAAGAGTCTTGGATTAAGCCAAATACAAAACCTGATCCAATTTATCCCCCTTTTTCCTTGTGGGATAACTGTTAGTCTGCCTTTTTGTACTTTCCAGAGCTCCAGCCCTCAGCTGATTTCACAACAAATGAAGCCAGCCACTGCCACGAGACTGTGTGGCATTCCAGAGCTGTGGAGGGGTGTTTATGTTCTCCCTCTCTCCCTCAGTGTTTCACGTGCCTATGTGTGTCCCAGGAGTAAACACAATCCCTTTGCTTTGCAATGCTAAAAATAGAAGCATTGGTATTTAAATTGCGAACAATCGGGTTTAGCAAACAATCCATATGACTGCACCCTTTGTGAATCACGGGGCTGAGTCATTTCCCTCACCTAAGCTGCTCTCTTCTCCTGTGCAGATTGCAAGAGCAGGGGGAAATCCAGCACTAATGTTTTCCTGTCTGTCTGTCTGCCATCCTCTCCATGCCCTGCAGCCTGCCTGCTCCAGGCCGAGCTGGTGAATTACGAGAGGGTCAAGGAGTACTGCCTCAAAGTGCTGCAGAAGGAAGGCGAGAACTTCAAGGCGCTCTATCGATCGGGAGTGGCATTTTACCACCTGGGTGACTTCAACAAGGCCCTCTACTACCTGAAAGAGGCAAGATCCCGCCAGCCGACAGGTATGGGGAAGGGAGAGGGATGTGGCTTTGCACTGAGTGCTTTTGTATTTCTTTCCATGAGACGTCATCTGTCCCTGACTTGGTTGCGTTGATTTCCACGGGGATGAGCGTGACTCACTGTGTGTCCTTGCCTGGACTCCCCTTCAAGCACTCGTGGGGAGTGCAGCAAGGTTGCAGTTCCCAAAGATTAACTGCTGCCAAGGCTGCAGCATGACCTGGAAGATGACAGTACCGCTGGAATGCTGTCAGTGTGGAGAGGATCCTGCCTCTCTTTTCCTCACTAACTTATTTTTGAAGAAAGCAGGGTGGGGAAAGAGTGTACCCCAACCATTAAATTTTCTGACTCTTTGAGAAAAAGCTTTTTCCCCTTAGCAATGCCAGGAGACTATTTGTCATCCTCAGTAGCCTTCTGCATTCTCGGTAAGGAGTTAGTATTCTGCTTTGATCAAGGAGACAGACATTTACCCACAAAGAATTCATCAGGATGCTTCAACTTCTGCCGTGAAACCAGCCAATTGCTTGTTAAGTATCTGTCATCCATCTGTCAAAACCATACAGTTCATTTGGGGACAGCAATGAAATTGTATATCCAAATAACTGAGCCTTGCCAGAGCAACCATCTTCATGCTAACCTGCCCATCCTCAGAAGGTGGGTGACAGGCCAGAGATGAGGGTGAGGCAGAGATGATGCTTTTATTTTTCAGAAATCATAGGGATATAACACTGTGGTTTTAAACAAAAAGGAATTTTGTAGAACTCAAAATTAAAGAATCTCAGGAAATTAAAATGGAAGCCACGTGCAAAGAAAATCCTACAGAGCATCTCTTCATATGAATCCAAGAGGAAAGAGTGAGAACTGGGTGTGAAACAGGGGCAAGCCTGGGTCCTGGCAGAGCATGGTGGAGCTGATATTCATTGAATTAGAGGAGGGGAAGGGAGGCTGTTGGAGTTGGCTGTACTTGATGTCCTACAGGCATTGGCCCTGCAGGGCTCCTGCAGTGGCTGTGCCCTGGAGGACCATCAGGGAGGGTACACTTGGGAGTGTGCTGGGAGTCTCCTTCCTCTTCCACCTCCCCTAAGGGTGCTTGGTCCCATCTGCTGTGCTTGGCCATGGGCTCCGGGCAGTCTGACAGCACAGCTGTGAGCCCCACACTCCCAGAGCAAATGTGTCTAAAAGCTCAGTTTAGCCTATTTTAGTTTACAGTGTGCCCTTCTGCTTTCAGCCCTTGCCAGAACCAGGAAATGGAGAAGCATATGCAAGAGAAAAATAGTCAGTGGAAAAGAAGTTATACTAACCTTGAAGTTTTGACCAGGCTCAGATGTGAAAAATTTATTTTAGCTGAACGACTTAGCGTCCATTTTTAAATATGTTTTTGTGCTCCCTTACCACCCCCCTCCTTGTAATACTATTTATTTAGTATTTCTCATTGCTTCTTGACATAAATACTAATTTATTCAACAGCAACAACTTCAAATACCACTTGCTACAAAAACATACCAGAAAGTGTCCCTAAAGGGCCTTAATGTATACAAAACCCAGTTCTGGCCTTCAGCTCTGCATCAGACTTTTTCCTGTTATTTGTAGACCGTTCAAGGCTGTTGTTCCACTGTTTTATTTATGATTATGGAAAACTTGAAGGGCATTCGGGGGAAAGAATTGAATATGTACAGTAAGAAAGGATGTGACTGTTAAAACACAGTAATAGGAATCAGGTAGCACTATCAAGAATTATTATGTGACCTGGAATAAGTCAGTGTCTCCACTTTAAATATCTCCATCTGCAAAGTGTGATTGTTTTCCTTTATCTGAGGTTTCACCAGGCTCACTGATTATTATTGCAGTCATGTTCAGTGTTGTTTTTTTGTTGGGGTTTTTTTTTTTCTAATAAGGAATGGTTTTGGCAGAAATTACTGGCAGTTATTCTCTTTGGTGGGAGAGATTTTGAATGGTAAAGAGGAATTAGTTAGCAAAGGGGTTTAGTGTTCTAAAGGGCTGTCAGCACAGCAGATCCCTTACGGCTATTCACTATCTGCCCAGGGTGAAGGAAGGTTGGATTTGGCCTGATTTCTTGTGCCACCTCCAAAGAAAAATCACAAAAGCAGATGGAAATAACACGAGATAGTTGTATAACCCTCCTACTAAGGAAGAGGGAAGCTGCTGTCAAGTCATGTAAAGCATGCATGGACCTTCCATGAGCTCTGTGTCCAGAGGTTGGTGCAGCATAGGCAGCCAAACATGCACCTTCTACAAGCCTTGTTTAGCCCTCTCCTCCTGGGGCTGCATTGTCTGGGCAGGGACTGACTGGGATAGACCAGACCATCAGCTGGAAATGTCCTGGTAATGTCAAGCAATGGTCTCTGCCATCCCTGTGCTGGGAGCCCACGTTCAGGCGTCCTGCAGGCTGCCCAGACCAGATAATTTTTGTGCTGTGCAGGCTCACGGCTGCACTCAGGCATTGCCTTCCTGCACCCCTGTGACTCAGAAGTCCTGGGAACAAAACCCAGGCCATGGTGTCTGCACAGCAGATAAGCAACTGGGCTCTGAAGCTATAGGGGAAGCAGAAAAGACCTTTAAAATAGCATTAGGCCACTCTGCAGAGAGACAGAGGCACAGTCTTAAGAGCCAGGAAACACATTCCCATTGCAGCTCTAGCAGTACCTCTTTGTATGGGTCTGACCCCTCATCTCAGTTGTTGTTTCTTGTTATTTCCACACCAGCCAAAGGGAATCATTTCTCCACTGAGAGATGAGAGTCTTCTCATTAACATTTACACATAACTTTGAAATACTTCTGCAGGCAGTGCAGTATGGTGCAATACTATTTGGTAGAAAAAACTTGACAGAGCTCCACTCCTGTAAACAGTGTTGCTCTCCATATTTTTCCTTGGTAAAACAATGGCCCTCACAAAGGGAGCAAAACAGGCCAAAACCATCCTGAGAGATCTATAAGTAGCTTGCAATGGAGCATTTCCCACCCTCTGTCAGGCTGCACATTATTTTGCCCATGGCTTCCCAGGCATATGGAAATCTCCCAGGTGAGTGAAGCTGTGCCATCAGCAGTCACTACCTTACCTGAAAGCCAAAGGAGGCTGGCAGTCTTTCCCAATTATGACCCCACTTCTGCCCCCTCAGCAAGATGCTGAGTCCTTGTGGGCCCAGGCAGGTGGGATTTCCTGACATGCCCATGCAGTTATCCCTTCTCACCTACACCAGGCAGGCCTTCTAAGCGTGTGCCTCAGTGGTGCGGATGTGTACTTGGAGCATAGCCCATCAGAGCCTAGAAGAGCAGAGAGCAGAGGTCGCAGTGAGATGCAGGCAGCACAGCAGGACCCTGCTCAGGCTGTGTGTCCTGCCCTGCACTGGAGTGAGTCAGCCAACTGCACCCATTTAATTTTAAGGCTAAAATTCAGAGCTACCCCCTCAACTGAATTTCTTCATTCCAGGAGGCTGCACAACTAAAATAATTCTGTTTTTTAAAAAGCTGCTTTAAAATTTGCTGGGCTGGTAAGAAGTACTAATGCATAAACAGCCCAGGATGCTGGTGCATCTTGTTTGACAGAAGCAACAGCAGAATTCTTAGCTCATTAAAAATGTCCCAAACAGGTCAAGTAACTTAGTCATCGAATCCCACCCTCTGGAATGCCTAGGATGATGCAGTTGGGCCTGCAGAAGACTCAGCAGGGAGACCCACCTCACCAGAGACAACTTGAGAAGTCACAACAGCATGGCCATGGCCCACAGATGCCCCGTGGCATGTTTGTGGATAGCTCTGTGTGGCAGGAAATTGATCTGTCTGTCACTGATTCAGCACTGGCAGAGGGCACAGTAGAGATGTCCTCATCTTTAAAGGAAGATTTGCACCCACAACTGCTTTGGGGGGGTGCAATACCTGCACTCACTAGTGCTGGACATATTCCCAGTAATTTGTTCATCACTTTGAAAGCTGAAGCACTTCTCATTTCCCTAGCTGCTGTGGAACACATTGCAGTTTGGATGAGGAGGAGATGAGATTGCCCTCTGATTGGACTCTATTGCACTTCTGATTGGTGTCTCAGGGTCTAATAACTTTAGTGGACCAAGCTGGCCTTGGATGGCTGTCAGAACAAGGCTCTGAGCAAAGAACCATTTTTTAATCGATACAGAAGTGAAAGTGGCTGTGTTTTTACTTGCTTGCTTCTTGTACCACATGGCTTTTGCCACTTCATGGGTGTGAAGTTACCTGATGATTTCATGATAGAAATCAATTTGGTTTAAGAGAGGATTGACCATGACTGCAGAATCATTGGCTCTGTCTGGAGACACATACTCATTTAGATCAGCCTGTGATTCAGGGTGAATGGGTTCCCTCAGGGCTGGAGATAAAGCCAAACTCTTGTAGTCTGTGTGGTGTGTTGATGCTCTGAAATGCTAGAAGGAAGAAGGCAGCTCAGCTTATCACCTGCACAGTGCTGGGATATCACAGCTTTCTATTAGGATGGATCAGTGGTTCTGTGCCCCTAGGAACTTCATTAGACAGGATAGACAAGGCAGTATGCAGCATATAGCATATGACAAAATCGCAGAAAGAGTGTCATGGTGGAAGGACATCCAAGCAGAAAATTTTAGGGGTGAAGGGGTACAAATACAATGTGAAGGATGCTCTTCCAAATTCTATTCATCATGGAAAAACTTGAAAAGAGTGGAATAGGCTGTAAGTAGAGTGGGAGAATAAAAAGGCAGAGTGTAACTGTACACAAAATGCCTTTAGGGGCTTGCATGCGGGTACTGCAGGAAGAAAAGCCAATGGAGGTGTGCTCTTCCACAAGTATAGGCAAGGATGGCCTGGATAGTTTCAGTTGTGTGAGTTCAACTGTGCCAACCAAGAGTAAACGGAGAGAAGGTAAAAATTAGCTGAGGCAAGACTGTGAGGAACAGGGACGGTGTGTGCAACTCAGACCACGCTCTCCAAAACCAAAGGTTCCAGGTTCAGTTCAGAGCCCCTTCCAACTGATGCTGTTCCAGCACACAGTGCTAGAGCTGTGCTGCTCCCCTGTGATGCACCAGGGATGAAGGTGCATTCTGTCTGTGTGCCACAGGGAGCTGTGTAACCACCATACCTGTGTATGTGTTCTTTCCCTGCAGATACCAATGTCATACGATACATCCAGCTGACAGAGATGAAGCTCAGCAGATGTTCCCAGAGGGAGAAGGAAACCTTGTGAAAATGAAGCCACTTCAGCTGAAGTGCCCAAGGGGGAACATTTCCTTTGTAGAAGCTCATTTGGTGGATTTTCCTGTTTGCTCTGCCTCATCCTCATCCTCATCTCATCCATCCACTCTCCCTTGCTCTTCATTGAATACCAGTTTTGAAATGAAAGAGACTTGGACGCTGGATATGGCTGCTTGCCAACCATGGTAATACCCTTTCCCCATGGCAAAAGAGCACAACAACTACAGCCAGCCTTGTTCCCAGACAGTGTCACACACCTGGAGTATGCAATGCTGAGGGACCTGTCTGGTCCTGAACTGCCTGCCTTTTACCTTTTAAGGAAGCAACCCCTAGAACAACAACTTCCTGACCAGGCAAGTTGGAGCCAGAGGGTTTCTGCTCTGAGTGATCACTGGAGCTTGGAAGAGCTAAGAAACCAAGAGAGCCACTGGTCATTCCACAGGGGACAGCAAATGCCTTTTTACCATCAGTTCCCTCTGCCTGCTTCTCCAGTGTGTATTATTGGTCTCCAGTGAGAGCTCACATGCTCCCAGTCTAATGTCAGTGAAAACTGTTTCTAAACATCCTCTTGATGAAAGCACAGAGTACCCTATGAACCCCCTGCAGAGCTGTCCCAGTGCCAGAGGAGAAGGCTGTGGGCCACCACAGAGTGCTGAACGGACTGTGAAAGCATGGTGTACAGTGTGAGGGAAAAACTGTGAAATAATTCATTAAAGGCAAATAAAAATTATTCATAGGCAACAAGTCCGGGCATTGCTTTTCAAAGGAGCCTCTTTGGTTCCCTGTGTCCAGACAGACAACATTAGCTAGGGAAGGGGCAGCATGGGGTGGGAAACAAGGGATGTCTCCATTCTTACCTTGGCTCTACCAATGCCTTGCTGTGTGATCTTGGGCAAGTCACTTTTAGCCTCTTGGTGCCTCGGTTTCCCTATCTGTACACTAGGGATAATACTACTTCCCTACCTCGCAGGGGTGTTGTGAGGATGTATCAGTTAATGTTTGTAAGTAACAGTACAGTGGTGTACAGTGCTAAGTATTATTAGTACATTGGATTGAGGTCTTGATTCTCCCACCTTGTGTTGGTGCTTCCTGTGTCCTGTTTTTTTCTTTTATAGGAGAATGTGGTGCTGATAATAGGGCAGGACCAATAGCTTTGGAGCCTATTTTGGCAGCCCAGAGACCTTTTCCAGCAGTTTGATCTTCTCTGAGAGCTGTCTCCTTGGCTCAAAAGTCCTTTTCAGAAACTGAAATGGGATCAGTAAGTGCCACAAACATATTTGCAGTGTGACTTGCCCAGCAGTGGCCCACAGGGACGTGTTCCCAGTAGCAGGATATACATGAATGGTTTCATCCCATGCTGGTCAGTGTTAAGTGAGCATAGCCAGAGTTATTTCACTTGGCCCTCAGCTGAAACACAGAAACTGAAACAGAGCTGAACAAAGTTTGGCCAATTGCTGTGTGCTTTGGTTCCAGAACACATGGTATCTGCAGACAATTGACTATGGCATCCCACATTCCAGCTGTGGTATCTGGCCACATTTTTCTCCAGCCAAAATTCAAGAGAGTTGTTAGAGAAACATCAAGAGAAAAGGCAAACTGAATAAAAGCCAACAGTGTGCACTGGCAGCCAGGAGGACCAACTGTGTCCTGGGGAACATTGGGCACTGTATCGCCAGCCAGGCAAGGGAGGGGATTGTTCCACCCTACTCTGCACTGGGACAGCCTCACCTTCAGTGCTGGGGCAGTTTTGGGCAGCACAATATAAAAAAGATACAAAGCTACTAGAGAGTGTCCAAAGGAGGGCAACAAAGATGGTCAAGGGCCTTGAGGGGAAGCTCTGTAAGGAGCAGTTGAGATCACTTGGTCTGTTCAGCCTGGAGGAAACTGAGGGGGGACCTTGTTTTCAACATCCTCACTACAGGAAGCAGAGAGGCTGGCATTGATCTCTTTTCTGTGGTGACCAGTGACAGGACCCAAGGCAATAGCATGAAGCTGTATCAGGAGAGGTTTAAGTTGGATATTAGGATAAGGTTCTTCACCCAGAGAGTGTTTGGGTACTGGAACAGGCTCTCCAGGGAAGTGGTCGTAGCACCAAGCCTGACAGAGGTTAAGAAGCGTTTGGACAATGCTCTCAGGCACATGGTATGACTCTTGCCTTGTGTAGGGCCAGGAGTTGGACTTGATCTTTGTGGATGGCTTCCAGCTCAGGATGTTAATGATTCTATGATTTTATGACATCTCTGCCATTGTCTCCAAAAAAACTTCAGTCGTATTCTTTAGTACAGGAATACATCCAGCTCACATTGGGGCTGGGGAAGAGACCACCTAAAAGTGACATATAAGTCCCTGAAATAAGACAGATCTACCTGAACTGTGGAAAACTTAAGATCAGCTGGGATGGCACCAGAAGTTCATGTTCCTCAGGTGGGTGGTAGAGAGCAGCTGCTTCCCAACATTGGGAACAGTGTGCAGCTACTGTAAAGGAAAGGGCTGCGGGAGGCAGCACAGTCACCTTCTTCAGATGGCCCTTGGTTCACACATCTGGGTCACAAATAGTGCCCCTGCCCATCACTACAGATATCTAAGCAATAAATGGAACTACAGCTGCTAGGAAGATGATTTAAAGACAGGGAGGACAAATGAGAGAAATTCTGTAAGTGGTTGTTAACCAGACAAGAAAATAAAGGTTAGGCAGAGATGTGCTTGGGTGCATATAAGGTGTTCCTAGTACTGCATAAAAAACAGTGTTAGTAAGGTTCTGGTTCTCAGGCGCATGCAGTCTTGTATATCCTAAATACATCACAGCACACAAAAAATTCAAATAGAGGTGACTCTCCCCTACTTCATATTGCTGATGACAGTTCATCCTGCAGCCGTATATGTCTCTTCACTAGGAGTGAAATGAGGATTCATCCTGCAGGCAATGCAGAAGGGGACACCACCTACGCAAACAGTCTCTGCCCCAGGAAAGCTCATGCAAGCAGAGACAAGCTTGTTACTCATGACCTTAATGTAGGAGAAAGGGCATTCTCCAGCCACTGGAGATGTAAGGCCATGACTGTCATTTTCTCTGGGTACAATTTTAGCCCTCACAATGGCTTCACTGACGTACTGTCACTGCATCAGTGCCATGTATATATTAATATAAAAAGGGCACAGCGGGCTCCAGTCTCAGTTTTCAACATCTTTCCTTCCAGAAGCACTGCAAAGGGTGGGGGAAAGAGGGAAGTTTTGGAATGTGCATAAGAAAAATATTTCAGAGGGCCTTCAGGTGCTACACAACAACCTATTTTCTTCAGAAAACTGTTGTTCTTACATACACTGACAGCCAGAACACCTGTAAGCAGTGACACTCGCAGCAGAGGCTGGAAGAAGGAAGTCACCAAAGAGAGAAGAGAGTTGGGGACTGTTTCATGCAGTGACACTGAGTCTGAGAGAATTATGGACATGGCTTTTCCAGTGAGTAGTCCTTAGCAGACAGATGTGGAAGTGTGGGCAGAGGCCACCCAATTCCACCCAAGTTACACAGACCTTGTAGGGAGTTGTAGATACCTTGTTGGAGGTAGCCATGTCCACTACAAGGTGATGGTATGTGTCTGTGGAGCAGTCAAGTAGCAATGTGAAGACATACATCCTGGAACCCCAAAAAAGTAAACAAAGCTTTAGCTCAGCTGGGTGGTGTATCTGTATGTCAATATGCAGTACACAAGGGAATGAACACAGACACACCTATACCCAACAGGGCAAAAATGTCCCCAGTGCAATGAGAAGCAAGCCCATTCATCCATCTCATGGTAAAATAGCAGGAATAAAATTGCAGGTGCCAGGCAGAGCAGTAGGACAGCACGCAGGAACTGAGGGTGAAAGGAGAGAGGGATGAGATGATCATGGGATGCAAAATATGAGCCAAACCCAGGTTCATGGGCAGAATGATAATTGAACTAGAAAAAAACTGACCAAAGGCTTAGACACACTATTTGCAGTTCATAACAACAGCCAGTTTTGGCAGGATACACAGCAGGGAAAAAAGACAGCAAGATTAGACGTGATTTTTCCAGTTGGAGGGGGAAAAAGAGGGGGAGGCTTCCTTCCTGCTGCAATGAGGAAAACAATAATTTTTGAAAGTGCAAGGAGAGGACAAACTGATGGTTATGGAAGTTTTCCAAATACATGTTAACAGTTGCTCTTAGTAAAAGTGGCTTGAACAGGGTGGAGAAGTCTTTGTTGAAATTAGGGAGAGGGTATGACTAGTTCCCAGAGCTGATAGGAAGGCAAAGGTCTAGATATTCTTGCTTACTGGTGAAATCTATCTAAGATGAAAAGGAGGCTCTTGAGTGAAGAGCAACCCCTTTAGCAATGCATCTCCATTTAGCAGAATTCCTCTGCAAGCCTCATCTGTGGAAATGTTCTCCACAAAATACAGCCAGCAGGCCTGGGAATGGCTGTGTTCTCATGCTTCACATAACATCTCCAGAGGGCTTATCTGCACTGTTTTCTTTATGCTCAGTCCCTTGATGATACCCTTTTGATTTGCTTTTTTCCTAGGAGCAGAAGAGAAGGGGGAGGTATGCACTGGCTGAAGGTGAAATCAAGCTAAATTTACACAGGTCCTGCTGACTATCCATGTTCTCTGGTTGGTTATTCACCTTTCCTCCTGCACTGATGGACACTGATGTTCTTCCCAAGTTTCTATAGTGAAATTTCTTGATCTGCACAGTATTTTAGAGGCTTGGGCAGGAGTTATTTAAATAAGGAAGAACTGTGGTGGGCTAATGTCCCCCAGGTGGGATGCTTGGGAGGGTGCAGTAAATGATCAGGTTTCTTAATACTATTCATGTATTTGCATAACAAATTACTAAGATCACTGCAGCTGGTAAGAAGTGGATTCCAGAGATTGTTCTTTAGGAGTTCCTTGGTTACTAAGGTGCTGCAGGCTGTACCACCCCCACCCCCAACAACAGCCTCGATGCTGCCTCAGGGAAGGTGATTAAAAGACAAGGCACTATCCTGGCTCCTCCCACAGCTGTAATTGAAGCAAGGTAAATTCATGGATACATGATAAGAACATATGAAGAAACCCATGAGGGCTGAGGCAGTTAGCAGCTTGTGAGGTAGAAGGGCATGTAAGTGGTCCCATAGATGTAGGGAGGGGAAAACCTTCCCTCTCTTTTGCTTCCCAGAGACAGGTGCTCCCTCTGTGGCAGCATGGGCCAGCTCAAACTCTGTTCAGCCCAGAACACTGTTCTGTGCCTACAGAAACTCTTTCCAGTAGCGGTTGTAGAATCAGGAAATAAATAGACTATGTAGTACCCAGTAAATTACCTTCTTACTCTACCTTCATGCTCACTCCTTATCCTTTGGAAAGCACTCGCTGTTACAGGACAGACAAGGGGGAATGTATGACACTATTCAGCCGTGGCCATGGTGAATGAAGCTGCTCTCCAAGAGAGGCTTCACAGGCCATATCACAGCCTCCTTTTTTCCTTTACTGCCAGCCAGGTCTTACACACAGCAGCAGCTCTACAAAACCAAATTCCACAACTTTTCCTTCCAGAGGGCTCTCCTTCACCACATTTTGCCTGGAGGGAACATGAGCCTGTGCCAGCAATTAGATACCTCTGGCAGCTCCCCATCACTGGTTAGGAAATGGTTTGTAATGCAGCCAGGTGGAACTGGCAAGGGCATCAGGAAATAAGAACAGGAATTTGGCTGGGGCTTTGGAGCCAACACAAATTCTTATAGAA